GCCAGATTGTGACTGATCTAGGTAGTTGTTGTCATTTAGAAAACCCTGGAGCTGGAAGGCAACCACCCGCTCCAGCACCTTGCCCAAAAAAGGGAGGTTGGAGATCGGCCTGAAGTTGTTCAGCACAGTGGAGTCAAGGGAAACTTTTCTGAGGAGTGGACGAACCACCGACATTGAATTCTTGACAGCAGAAGGTGTCACCCCAAAGGATATTCATCAGAGAATGAATCTCCTGGAGCGTGCTTGCTCCATCCATGTTTATTTATTTATTTATTTATTTATTTATTTCTTGCACTTATAGACCGCCACTCTCAGCCCAGGGGCGACTCGTGGCGGTGTACAACAACATAGAAAAGACAGCTTACAATAAATCAACAATACACAACGTTCTACTACTACAAACACTACTATACTAAAAATCCGCTTCGTCAAATCATAGGGTCAATCCATCTCATAATCACAGTCCATTCCGGTCGTCAATTCCAGTAACCTAGCACTCAATTGAAGGCCATCTCGAAGAGCCATGTTTTCAGGCCCTTACGAAAGGCCATAAGGGAAGGCGCCTGTCTAACTTCAGCAGGGAGGGTGTTCCAAAGCCGGGGGGCCACCACCGAGAAGGCCCGCTCTCTCGTCCCCGCCAAACGTGCCTGTGAGGCAGGCGGGACTGAGAGAAGGGCCTCCCCAGATGATCTCAAAGTCCTCGTGGGCTCGTAGGCCGAGATGCGGTCCGCAAGGTATTTTGGGCCGGAACCGTTTAGGGCTTTGTAGGATAATACCAGCACCTTAAATTGGGCCCGGTAGCAGATCGGCAGCCAGTGGAGCTGGGACAGCAGGGGCGTTGTATGCTCCCTGCGCCCTGCTCCCGTTAACAACATGGCTGCCGCGCGCTGGACTAGCTGAAGCTTCCGGGCCGTCTTCAAGGGCAGCCCCACGTAGAGAGCGTTGCAGTAATCAAGGCGGGATGTGACCAAAGCATGTACCACCGTGGCCAAGTTCAACATCTACACAATGACCAGCCACTGCCAGAAGGGACAGAGAGTTTCATCTATGCTGATGATCGTGCCATTACTGCTCAAGCAGGGAGCTTTGAGATGGTTGAACAGAAGCTCTCCGAAGCTCTAGGTGCTCTTACTGCCTATTACAGGGAAAACCAACTGATCCCTAATCCATCTAAACCACAGACATGCGCCTTTCACCTTAAGAACAGACAAGCATCCCGAGCTCTGAGGATTACCTGGGAAGGAATCCCACTGGAGCATTGCAGCGCACCCAAATACCTGGGAGTCACCTGGACCGTGCTCTGACCTACAAGAAGCACTGCCTGAACATCAAGCAAAAAGTGGGCGCTAGAAACAATATCATACGAAAGCTGACTGGCACAACCTGGGGATCACAACCAGACACAGTGAAGACATCTGCCCTTGCGCTATGCTACTCTGCTGCTGAGTATGCATGCCCAGTGTGGAACACATCTCACCACACTAAAACAGTAGATGTGGCTCTTAATGAGACATGCCGCATTATCACAGGGTGTCTGCGCCCCACACCACTGGAGAAATTACACTGCTTAGCCGGTATTGCACCACCTGACATCCGCCGGGAAGTAGCAGCCAATAGTGAAAGGACCAAGGCAGAGACATCTCCAGCTCATCCCCTGTTTGGGTATCAGCCAGCACGTCAACGACTTAAATCAAGACATAGTTTTCTTAGATCTACAGAGACACTCGCTGGAACACCTCAGCAAGCGAGAGTCCAAAAGTGGCAGGCCCAAACCCAGCACCTCAATTCATGGGTGATACCAGATGAGAGACTCCCCCCTGGGCACTCAGAAGACTGGGCGACTTGGAAGGTGCTGAACAGATTGCGCTCTGGCACCACGAGATGCAGAGCCAATCTTAAGAAATGGGGCTACAGGGTGGAATCCTCGGCATGCGAGTGCGGAGAAGAACAAACCACTGACCACCTGCTGCAATGCACCCTGAGCCCTGCCACATGCACGATGGAGGACCTCCTTGCGGCAACACCAGAGGCACTCCAAGTGGCCAGATACTGGTCAAAGGACATTTAACCAAATACCAAATATGCAAAATCTGTGTGGTTTTTCTTTCTTTCTTTTTTTCTTTTTCATCTCTGTGTTTGTCTTGCTCTGTTAGAATTGTAATACAATGGTTGCTGATGACACGATAAATAAATAAAATAAAAATCAGAGAATGCAAGCTGTTTATGGTGATTGTGTTGATGTGAGTACTGTGCATCGTTGGGCGAGTAAGTTTAAAGATGTTGAGGTGGGAACATGTGACTTGCGTGACAAACAAAGAGTTGGACGTCCTTTGACAGCAACCACCGAGTTTCACAAGCAAAAGGCTGACAGATTGATTCAGGATGATCATCGTATCACTCAGAGAGAAATTTCAAGCATAAGCGGCACATTATTGCTTTGCTTGGCTATCGAAAGATCTGTGCACAATGGGTTGCAGAAACAGAGTGTCGACTTCTTCCATGACGGCTTCAGAAAAATTGCACATAATTCTATATTTCGAATACTGCATTGCTCTAATTTTTGAAAGCCTGCTCCCAGAGCCAGGTTTTGACTCTCTTCCTGAAGGCAAGTAAGGGAGGAGGCTGATCTGATGTCACTAGGGAGTTCCACAACCAAGGGGCCACCACTGAGAAGGCCCTGTCCCTTGTTGCTGCCAGCTTTACTTGTGAGGAAGGCGGGACTGAGAGCAGCCCCCCCCCCCCAGATGATCTTAGTCTCTGAGCTGGTTTGTAAGGGAAAATACGTTCAGATAGGTAGCCTGGGCCGGAACCTTTACAGCCTTGTGACTGACCAGGAGGACCACTGTCTTGTCAGGATTCAATTACAATTTGTTTGCTCCTATCCACACTGACACAGCTGCCAAGCACTGGTTCAGGACTTGAACAGCCCCCTAAGCAGCAGGTGGAAAGGAGTGAGAGAGTTGAACATTGTCTGCATACAGATGACATCCAACTCCAGATGATCTCTCCCAATGGCTTCATGTAGATGCTAAACAACATGGGGGACAGTACTGAGTCCTGCGGAACCCCACAGCATGAGGACTGAGGGGCCGAGCAGGGCTTTGTTTTGTGTGTCAGGAGTGACTTTAGAAACTGCAAGTCACTTTTGGTGTGAGAGAATTGGCCATCTGCAAGGACATTGCCTGGAGGACGCCTGGATGTTTTGATGTTTTTCCTTGTGGGAGGTTTCTCTCATGTCGTCTCATAGGGAGCTAGTGCTGACAGAGGGAGCTCAACCTACTCTCCCTGGATTCGAACCTGTGACCTGTTGGTCTTCAGTCCTGCTAGCACAAGTGTCTCTCAACAATATCTTCTGGGAGCAGCCCTCCAGGAAGGATCAGAGCCACTGTAGGACAGTACTTCCAAGAGCCATTCCTGCCAGACCCATTCCTTCCTTCCCACTCGAGCCTCTCTACCCCTTCCTCTTCCTATCCCTTCTCTTTCCCTTTCCCATCCCTTCTGCTTCCTATTCTTTTCCCCATTGTCCTTCCCTTCCCATCCCTTTCCCATCACATCCCTTCTCCTTCTCATTCCCATCCTTTCTGCTTCCCTTCTCTTGCCCCTTCCTTTCCCATCCCTTCTCCTTTCCTTTCCCATCTCATCCCTTGTCCTTCCCGTTCCCATTCCTTCTCCTTCCCATCCCATCCCGTTTCCTTTCCCTTTCCATCCCCTCCTGTTCCCTTTCCCACCCCATCCTTTCTCCTTCACATTCCCTTGCCCTTCCCGTTCCCCATCTCTTCTCCTTCCCTTCCCATCCCTTTGCCATCACATCCCTTCTCCTTCCCATCCTTTCTGCTTCCCTTCCCTTGCCCCTTCCTTTCCCATCCCATCCCTTCTCCTTTCCTTTCCCAACTCATCCCTTGTCCTTCCCTTCCTGTTCCCTTTCCCATTCCTTCTCTTTCCCATCCCTTCCTGTTTCCTTTCCCTTCCCATCCCTTCCTGTTCCCTTTCCCATCACATCACTTCTTTCCATTCCCATCCCTTCTGCTTCCCTTCCCACCCCCTTTCCTACTCCATCCCTTCTCCTTCCCTTCCCGTTCCCTTTCCCATCCCTTCCTGTTTCCTTTCCCTTCCCATCCCTTCCTGTTCCCTTTCCCATCACATCACTTCTCTTTCCATTCCCATCCCTTCTGCTTCCCTTCCTCCTCTCTTTCCCACCTCAACCCTTCTCCTTCCCTTTACCATCTCATCTCATCCCTTCTTCCTTTCCCATCTCATCCCTTCTCCTTCCCGTTCCCTTTCCCATCCCTTCTCTTTCCGTTCCCATCCCTTCTGCTTCCCTTCCTCCTCTCTTTCCCACCTCAACCCTTCTCCTTCCCCTTACCATCTCAACTCATCCCTTCTCCTTCCCTTCCTGTTCTCTTTCCCATCCCTTCTCCTTCTCTTTCCATTCCCATCCCTTCTGCTTCCCTTTGCCATCTCATCTCATCCCCTCTTCTCTTTCCCATCTCATCCCTTCTCCTGCCCTTCCCGTTCCCTTTCCCACCCCTTCTCCTCTTTCCATTCCCATCCCTTCTGCTTCCCTTCCCCTCCCTTTCCCATCCTTTCTCCTTCCCATTCTCTTGCCCTTCCCTTTCCCATCCCTATCCCTTCTCCTTCTCTTTCCCGTTCCCTTGCCCCTCTCTTTCCCATCCCGTCCCCTTCCATTTCCCATCCCATCTCCTTTTCTTTCCTTTCCCATCTCATCCCATCCCTTCTCTTTCCCTTTCCATCCCATCCCTTCTCTTTCCCTTCCGGTTCCCTTTCCCTTCCTTTCTCCTTCCCTTTCCAATTCCTTCCTCGCCTCTTCCCGGGAGGAAGGAAGGAAGGAAGGGAGGGAGGGAGGGAGGGAGGGACGGTGGGAGAGAGGGGCCGGCTGTTGCGCTCCGCTCTCTCTCTCTCCTCCCGAAGCCCTCCCCTCCTCTCCTTCTCTCCGCCCCGATTGGATCTAGCCAGGGAGGGAGGGGGCTGGGCAAGAGGGAAGGGGAGGGGAGAGGAAGGGAGAGAGAGAGAAGAGAGTGCCTTCCCCTCCCCTCGCCTTCCCTCCGCTCTCTCTCTTTCTCTCCCTCTCTCTCCCATTGGCCGCCCTTCCCTTTGTGTGCCAGGCAGCTGCAGCCCCAGCTCCACATGTGAATGTATGGTGGTGGGGCCGGGGCGCGCAGCCTTCCTTTCCATGGGCCATCTGTCTCCCTCTGACCCTCACCACCCCCGGCGGAAGGAGCAGGAGCAGCAGCGGGACCAGGAGCAGCAACAGCAGCAGCAGGAGCCGCAGGAGCCCCGGCCTGTCCCGGAGCGGCCCCCCGAGGGCAGGGACTTTGCCTCCTCCACCGCCTTCTCTTCCACCGCCTCCTCCTCCGCCTCTCCTCCTCGTCGTCCCTCGCCCGCCTTGGAGGGCTCCCGCCTGGGCCAAGAGGAGCCACCGACTCCGGGGCAGGAGGCAGCATGGTTCTGGTCCACGTCGGCTATCTTGTTCTTCCAGTGTTTGGCTCTGTGCGAAACAGAGGTATCTCCTTTATCTGTGTCTCTCTTGCTTTCTGATTTGTGCTTGGCGGAAGGAACCACAGGAAACAAACAAAGCCAGCCAGGAGGGGAGAGGGGCACAAGGGAGGCAGCCCAAAGGAAGCCCAGGAGAAGGAGAGAGAGAGAGACAGAGAGAGAGAGAGAGCATCCCTTCCCAGAGCCCAGGGCAGATGCATAGATGGAGAGATGGATGGATGGATGGATGGATGGATGGATGGCGGTGCGCCTTTCTTCTTGCGTGCGACTTCTCTTCCTCCTCCTCCTTTGGGGAGAAGGAGGAACGTGTGTGTGGGAGGAAGAGCAGGGAAAGCTGAATGAGTGGAGAGGAAGGAGGAGGATTTGGGGAGGGGTGGATAGATGGATGGCAGGAGCAAGGAAAGGCACCCCTCAAAAAGGGTCAGGGAGGAAAAGGCAGGAGAGAGGGAGAGAAAAAAGAAAGGAATGCAGGAGGAGAAAGGGAAGAGGAAAAAGAATGGAAGGAGTGCAGGAGGAAAAGGAGAAGAAAGGAAAGGGAGGAGTGTAGAAGGAAAAGGAGAAGAAAGAGAAAAAGAATGGAAGGAGTGCAGGAGGAAAAGGAGAAGAAATGAAAGAGAGAAAGGAAGAAAGGAGTGGAGGAGGAAAAAAGAAGATAGAAGAGAGAGAGAAAGGAGTTCAGAAGGCAAAGGAGAAGACAGGAGAAAGGGAGGGAGGAGTGCAGAAGGAAAAGGAGAAGAAAGGAAAGAGAGAGGAAGGAGTGCAGGAGGAAAAAAAGACAGGAGAGCGCGCGAAAGGAGTTCAGGAGGCAAAGGAGAAGACAGGAGAAAGGGAGGAAGTAGAAGGAAAAGGAGAAGAAAGAGAAAAAGAATGGAAGGAGTGCAGGAGGAAAAGGAGAAGAAAGGAGAGAGAAAGAGAAAGAAAGGAGTGCAGAAGGAGAGAGAGAAAGAGAAATGAGGAGAGGGGCTGCAAAGAGAGGCACCTCCAAAATAACAATCAGGCTTGAAGAAAGGGAGAAAATGGGAGAGAGAAAGGAGTGCGGAAGAAAGGAGAGAAGGGTTAAGGGAGTGAGTGGGGAGAGGTGGGTGAACAGAGAGGCACCCTCAAAATCCTATAAAGGGAGAAGAGAAGGTGGGAGAGGGCAAACCAATGTGGAAGGAAGGAAGGAAGGGAGAGAGAAGAGGAGGATTCAGAGGAATGGAGAGAGGAGGCTGCAAAGAGAGGCACCCTCAAAATCCTATAAAGGGAGAATAGAAGGTGGGAGAGGGCAAACCAGTGTGTATGGAAGGAAGGGAAAGAGGGGAGAGAGGAGAAGAGGATTCGGAGGAGTGGAGAGAGGAGGCTGCAAAGAGAGGCACCCCCAAAAGTGTGAGAAACACTCTCAGCAAAGGGGGAGGATGTGAGAAAGAAAGGAATGCAGAACGAAAGAAAGGAAAGACCCAAAGGGTGTGAGAGCTGAAGCAAACAGGGGCCAAACTGGGGCAAAATGGGAAGGGGATAAAGTCCTCACCCTGCGAAGCCATGGAAGTGCCAGGCTTAGGGGTGGCAAGGAAGGGAATTGTCAGATGAGCCCAAACACTGGGCTGTTCTTAGGGAAAGCTTGTTTAGAGATCTGGGCCTGACCCCCCTCCTCTCCCCCTTTGAGAGCCAGCCCTTTTTTCCCCTTCCCTTCCTTCCTGTGTCCCCACCCCTCCCTTTTCCACCCTCCAGTTAACTCCATTTTGGATCTTCTTTCTGCCGAGCCCCTCCCCCTTCCCCCCCCCTCTCTCTTTTCTCCCCCTCCTCCTTCCCACCTGACAAATATAGATCCATGCCTGCAAGGAACAGTAGCTGCTGCCCCTTTCCATAGATACAGATTATACAGAGATGTGGAGGGGGAGAATTCCTCATTTATTGCTTGCCTTCCGGGTCTAGAGCTCAACAAAGGGACTAGAGTGCATACCTTTCAAAAAACCGAACCCTGAATGTGTATTGTTGTTACCATTTCGATTAATATTACGAGCCACTATAAAACTGTCTACTTATTATGATTTGAGATCCCTATGGGGACTGGTCTCTGAACCCTCCCTCTGTCTCCTCCTGAACTCTTGTTTACCCCTTTCTATCCCTTCCCCTCCTTTTTCCCCTTTTCCTTTCCTTTCTCTGTTGGGTTTTATTCTTTTTGAGGGGCTTTGGGAAGGCTTCCTCCCCCTAATTTTTTTTTTGGTGCTGTTGTGGTTTGATCCGGGGCGTGAATCCTCACCTCCTTTGATCCTCTCCCTTCCAATTCCCCTTTTCTGTCCTTTGGTGTTTTAAACAGTTCATGGCAGGCGGAATTTGCCTAAAGAAATCTAAAACTAAGCCCCTGTTTTATAATTTTTTTCTCTCTTCTGAACGGATCTTTAATATGGGATGTGTATATATGGCCATTGCACATTTTCGCCACATTCCCTTGTTCTCCACCCATTCCCATATGCTGCCACAAACAATGAATTCCAGCCTTTGACTCCCCCCCTCTCCCTCCCTTCCTTCCTCCCTCCTTTCTTCCCTCCTTCCCTCCCTCCCTCCCTCCTTCCTTCCTTCCTTCCTTTCCTTCCTTCCTTCCTTCCTTCCTTCTTCCTTCCTCCTTCTTTCCTTCCTTTAATATATAATTTCTCCTTTCTTCATTCCTTCTCCCCCTATCTCTCTTATGTCAAATCCAAGCTGCATTTAGATGTCACAATTCCTCCTTTCCAAGACTCTTTGCCTTCACTATACAGTGTGCTGTGTGCACTTCAACACATTTCTCCCTGGTTGAGCAAAAACCCCAAGGAATGGACAGCTTTCCATTGGATTTAGTGAAAACGAACAATGGGATCAAATAAGGTCTTGAGCTTTCCTGGCAAGGCCGGCCCATCATTCTCCTCCTCCTGGAGATGTGGATCCTTAATGAGACACAGCAGAGAGTTAATCAACCCCCATCAAGAGGGGGTTGGAAATCCCAGGGTAGGATCAGAATCCATTCTGCTCCCTCCAGATTAAGCCCTGGGGAAGGGGGAGGTTGCAACACCAATCCCTCCCACACAGGAAATACTCTGAACCCTAGATAGATAAATATGTTGCATAAGGGTGGCATTGGAAGGCCCAGGTTCTCTTCAACCCAGGAGAGGAAGGTGAAAGATGCACCAAGTGGGCCGTGGGATAGACCGTGGTCCAAGTCACTGGGGCTGGATCGTGGTCCAAGTCACTGGGGCTGGATCGTGGTCCAAGTCACCTGGGCTGGACCGTGGTCCAAGTCACTGAGGCTGGACCGTGGTCCAAGTCACCGGGGCTGGACCGTGGTCCAAGTCACCTGGGCTGGACCGTGGTCCAAGTCACCGGGGCTGGACCGTGGTCCAAGTCACCGGGGCTGGACCGTGGTCCAAGTCACCGGGGCTGGACCGTGGTCCAAGTCACCGGGGCTGGACCGTGGTCCAAGTCACCGGGGCTGGACCGTGGTCCAAGTCACCGGGGCTGGACCGTGGTCCAAGTCACCGGGGCTGGACCGTGGTCCAAGTCACCGGGGCTGGACCGTGGTCCAGGTCACCGGGGCTGGACCGTGGTCCAGGTCACCGGGGCTGGACCGTGGTCCAAGTCACCGGGACTGGACCGTGGTCCAAGTCACCGGGGCTGGACCGTGGTCCAAGTCACCGGGGCTGGACTGTGGTCCAAGTCACCAGGGCTGGACCGTGGTCCAAGTCACTGGGACAAAACAATGGCCACCATCACCCGGCATTTCTATGCTTTGCCTCCCACTCTCATTCAGCTGCTTTCCCCCTTTTCTTTTTACCCCAAACCCACCCCACACCGTTCCCCCCTTTTCCCTTCTGTCCCTGTGTAACATTATAACAGCTGAGTCCTCGCACATTGTGGCATTCGGTTTTCTTTAACTGCAGCCTCCTCTAGTGTGATGATGGGATGACGGACATATTTTTTTTCCCATTTCGTTTATTTATTATTTATTTTTTCGTGCATCGGGTCCAAACCTTCCTTTCGTTTTAATTTCCCCCTCCCTCCTTTCTTGATTTGATTTTGATTGACTTTCTCCTCATCGTTGTGTAGATCAGTGAATGGTCAACCTGCTGCCCTCTGGCTTTTGTAGTTTCTCTTGCCTCTGCATTTAGCTCTAATGTTGACACCCCACTCCTCTCTTTAACCATTTCCTGTATCCATCTAAGGAACGCACTGGCATTTTAAGCTGAAGTATCCTCTTTCGATGTAGCTGGGAGGGGCGAGAAGGCTGAAAGGGACTTTTGAACCAGGGGGTTGGGCTTTTCCCTCCCTCTCACCTGCTCAGCTAACCTTGCATGACTTGGAAATGCAAAAGATTAATCATAAACATAAACGTGGCTCAGCAGTAGCACCAAGTTACGGTTGCAAAAAATACACATTGTGATATTGCTAAGGTTGTGACCTCCATCACTGAGATCACAACATCCTTCCAATTCCAAATCTATCATAAACAAAGGAACGATTGGCCATATATATGCATTATTTGCTAGGAAAGCAAGAGGTAAACAATGGAGCCTTTCTTCCTCTTTGGGTTTTATTGGCGACCCTGAACACACCCACTGAAAAGCTAGCGCTACTGGGCAGGTGGCATTGTGTGAAAATGGGGCTCAAAATAAATAAATAAATAAAAGGCCATCTGGACTTTCTGAGAGAGGATGCTAAGGCTTAAAACCGAAGTCCTAAACCACCAAGCTTCTTGTGAAAAGAAAAGAGAGAGAGAGATAGAAAAAAAATGGTAGACAGATTGTATGCTCAAACCTGTTTCTCTTTTGCTGTCATTGTAGTAGTCTAGAACAAATATATATCTATATATATTATCTATATATGATCAGGCCATTTCCAATAGAGCTCTAGTTTTATAACGCCATTTTTGTATCTTCATCCTGTTTAGCTAAGTACATTTGCACTGTAAATTCCTGTTAAGTGGATTCATTTTGCTTTAGTTGCGTGGAGGATGCAGTATCTTGGGGTTTATGATGATACGCCTCGCACCACCCACCC